TCCTTTAATATTTAGGTGTTGACAACATGTTATTCCCAAAAGTTTAAATTGTTCTCAGATCATCCTATAATGGAACAGTCTACCCCCAAAACAACTAAGGGACGTTGCTATGAGGGCTTGAGTCCTCGTGCATCCACTTACTTTATCTGTTTAAATTGTTTTGAACAGTTTAACCCTAAAGTTTAATCCTGATACCAATGGCATCCATCAAGGAGCGGTGGTGGGATGCACAGCAATGGAGAGGGAGGTGCCTTTAAAGCCAGACCTCCACTACGTGGGCCATACAGCCAGTGAGGGAACTTAGAGATAGTGGTGGTGGCAGTATGGAGAGAAGAGTTGTTGCCAAACCACCTGTGGGTGGACAGGTGGGCACAGATGTTGCAAGAAAAGTGTTTTTCTCCAATTCCCTTCCTTAAGTTTCAGGCAGTCTGGGTAGGCTGTCAAGGGAAGGGGAAAAGGGAGAGGGCAGGCCAAAGGGCAGATGAGAAGGACAAATAAGCAGTTCTCTCACTGCTAATCAAAATAAGAAAACATGTATATACAATAGTGCAAAACACTGAAAGTGCTTAGTTCATGCAAGCAAAGTGCCTTGGTGATTCTTAATTATTTGTTTCTTCACCAATGTGAATAATGAAATATATAATAAATTACTCAAAATACTCAGAAAACAAATAGAACTTGCTATTACCAATTTGAATGTTTTTATGCTCATTTGCTTTTGGGGGTGCAACTTTCAATTGCCCCAATGCAGCATAATGAAGATGTTACTACTCAATATTGTTTTATTCTAGTCTTTATAGGTGGATTGTATCTCAATTGTTGTTGAACTATAGTGACTGCTGGGCCAGCCAGGTAGTGGGCAGGCAGCCAATGCCAGGAGAGCGGACAGGGTTATGTACTTTATAATCATTATAACTCACCCTGCCTAATCTCCTTTATGTTTGTTCCTGTCCTGGCTCTGCTGCAGCAGAGACAACGCCCGTCCCAAAAATTCACAGAGGTAAATGTTCTATATTTAAAAAAACATAACGTTCAAAAGGCACAAATAACTATTCAAGTACATTCTTAAAAACAAATTCATTAAATGTTGCAAACCATATAACACACTGCTCCTGAGGAAGCTCATAGAAGAGTGAAACGCGTTTAGCTGATTTCTGGACTTTCTATTTGGACTTTTCTATTTTTTAGATGAAGTATTATCTTTGTTTTAACTTATTGTTAATAAATTACTTTTAATACTTTATATTTTAGTCCAACAAGTCCTTCCTAGCCATCAGGAACTTTCATTGGGGAGTGCTACCCCACAAAAACTAGCACATTGTCCATCAACCTCAGAGCCGGGAGTTCATAGGCTCTGTCAAAGGTGAGCACAAACCATTACCACCTATATTATAACCACATTCTATACAATACTACACAGCCGGCCTGTCTCCCCTTTTTTCTGTTCCATATCCCTGGAGGAGTACCGCTTGGGACAAAGGGGTGCATTTGCTGCCCAAAAAGCATAAAGGATCTATTTACAGATCCAATATTACATAGGCTCCAGTACATGTGAGTGGTTTCAGTCATTTATTACCATCATTTATCCTCTTTTGGGAACCATCTGCACTATATATTTGTTTCTGTTTCCTTTTGTATGTATATTCAAGCATATACGTTCAAGACTGTCACGGTAATGAAGGGGTGAGTGTACCCCTATATTGTTCAAATTGTAATAGCGCTCCACTTGTTGGTATATAGCCTATACCACTTTCTCTTGTGTTTTTGTACTTTATTGTGGATAAGGGGTATTCCACTTTTAGTGTTGAGCTGCTTCTTTTACCTCAGGCACTGTAGCGTTTCACTCACTAGCCCTGTAAAGAGATAGCTACTTTCTGTGCTTAACCATATAACACACTGCTGCTGTGTGGGATTGATTACTCCCTGGGAAACATGGAGAGCGGGTGAGGGTGATGCAGGATGCATTATGTAACCTGCAGTCTATGTTTTGTGCTGTCTTTTTTTTTTTTTACTTTTCTGGGTGTACTTACTTGAAATAAAGGATCAGCAATACATGACACTTATTTTTCAGGATTGTTTATCTGCACCCTAATATGTTAGTATATTAGTTTGGCAGTTATTGTTTACCACTTTAGTTTGTTTACTGCTGTTTAATTAATAAGTATACATATAGGACTTGTTTTGGGATTAGTAAGAATGTGAGGTTTTAAATGGTGAGTGGTATTGTATAAGGTGGTGTGGCCAGGGAGGTGTGTGACTAGAAAGGGGCACTGTGAAGATTTTACACACAGGATGCCAAAAGGTCCAGCCCTGAGTTGGGTCTCTTGAGTACTCCAGCAAGAGCCAACACCAATGGTGTCAGGAAATCTACCTCTGGTGGGACTTGAATGCCTGTTTCCCGCATTCTGCCTCTAAACTCTGCCCATACGTTATCGCCCCTCGAGTTATCTGTCAAAGGATTTTATTGGAGACCAATGATCACACTACCATTCTCACATTCTCATGGTTGTCAACAGGTTTTCAAAAATGCAACTCTTTCTTCCATTGCCCAAGTTGCCTACCGCTGCAGAGCTTGCTCAAGTCTTTGCCAAAGAGGTTGTAAGGCTCCATGGGTTGCACTCTGAATTTTTCTCCAGGTTCCTTGCACCGAACCTGACATTACAAAATGGCCAAAACATCTGGAAACCAGCTTAGGTGTGGCAACATGAAACTTAATGCTCTGGGAGCAAAACCCGGATATCTTTAACCTGGAACGTAAGTTGGCTACGAATGTACAAGCACCCTCCATTAAACAATGCCCTGCCTACCAATCCCTTTCTAATAAAAGTGAGGGAAGCCTATTAGATCTATTATCTGTAAATAAAAACAAAAAAAAAATCATACTTGCTTTTTAGAATTTTTCTTTGTTTTACAATCCACCTCTATTTTCAGCCCCCAAAAAAGACAATACAAAAGCCCATCACTATTAAAAATTTAAAAAAAAGACCTGGATCACAAAAAAGTAGTAACCACTGGATTTAGTAGCAATTAAATTGGATACTTTTGGTCAGGGCAGTTTTGACAGCGTGACGGGCATGCAATCCAGACTGAAGAGAGTCAGTTATAGAGTTGGGTTCAAAGAAGTCAGTCAATATTTGAGTTGCAGGATATGAGTTGCAGAGTGTCGATCATGTATAACTCACCCTCAGGTTTTTGACCTTTCAGCTTTACTAGGTAACAGTATGCATCACATGTCATCACCAAGTAGCCAATGTCAAAAAGAGTAACAAAAATATATCTCTGAAAATTATAGGAAAATGAAAGTAGACTCAGGAGTTTAAGAGTTATCATGAATGTGTTCATTTATTTAATTTTAGATATGTACACTTTGATCATGGTATTTAAAGGAACGTTCTATAACACCATAACAATTTAATTTAGTTAAGCTGTTGTGGTACTAGGAGGTACAAGGTACTGTCTTCCCTTAAGGGATAAAACTGTTTATGAATGGTTGTGAAGACAACGCCTACCTGCCCCCAGCTATGGCCTAAGGGCTTCAGTGAGGAAGCCTTAGACTCTGTCTTGTTAATAGACAGAGAGTGTCATCTGATGCTCTGAGCCGATCACTAGCTCCACATTGACAAAACTATCTGGTAAAGGACTGTAGGGGGATACTTATAGGCTAAAGGATCAGCTTGTGCTCTCAGCCTATCAGCAGCTTCTGGGCTAAGGCTTCTCACAGGCTTCCTCACTGAAACCTTGGACCATCGCTAGAAAACAGGGGCAGAGCAGATGGGCACTGTCTTCTTAACTTTGGAGTTAAACCGTTTGTAAAAGGTTTATCCCCTTAGAGTAAGACGGCCCCCACGGAACTCCAGGCATCGTAACAACTACTTTGAGATTAAGTTGTTATGGTTCTCAGAGTGTTCCTTTTAAATATCTTAATTTTTTACAGACTTATGTATTGATATGGTAGCTAACTGCTTTCAATGACATATTGTGGAGTTTTAGCTCTATTGTTGGAAGGCTTCAGCCATTGGTAATAACACAGTGTATGCAGGATAAAAATAAACTATAACCTCTTCATGACAAAATTTCCCAGGATTTGCCTAACCTCTTGTAATGAAGTCATCAATTAAAGAAATAGAAACATTTTAATTGTTTTCATCTTGTTTTACCTGTTTATACTGTGAAATGGATTATAAACTTAAAACTTACTGTATAAAAAAAAATAATCCATAACTACTACCAAAAATGTAATGTACATTCTGATATTGATCTGACATAGCCTTGGTTTTCATTTATAGAACTTAATTTTAACATCAACATACATAAAAAATAAGATTAATAATTAAAAAAAACATGATCAATTTGTTTTTTATAAGAGAGCTTTGCAATGATGATTTCACAAATAAAAAATTACGGTTTAATTAAATGAAACATTCAATTATAGCATTCATTGAAAAACTTAAATTATAATACTTACCATCATGTATATGTAGATACGGACAGTTTCCAATCTGAGTGCTATAAAATCTGGTAACAGTTACTTATATAAGAACAACTGGGAGTATTCTGACCAAAAGGGACCTTTAACCTGTGTGTGTGTGTGTGTGTTTACTTTTTTAATAGATATCTAAACCCAACAATATACATAACTGTCTACTAGCCTATGTTTGAAATAACAGGACCTCCTATTTCAAAGCACAGAAAAACATATTATAGAAGTTCAAGGCTAGAACGGTGCATTAATCGCCTTCTATAAAATTTCAGTGAGCAAGATTTTGAGTCAACACTGGATGCATATGTTCAATAGACCTGATTTTGAAAAAGTTCGTTTTTTTCAAAATAAGGAGAATAATCCCAAATTCCTCTTTTCATGGGCTTCAGGATGTTTTAAAAGTGCGGTAATACACTATGCTTAAAGGAGCTCGTCGGACACCATAACAATTTCATCTTAATAAATAATAAAAATGCATGATGACCCGTGTGCATTTTTACGAAATAACAATTAAATAAAAACGTGTATTTCATTTTGAACAGATTAAAATATGGATAAAAATCCAATTATACTGTATTTCTTTTAAATATAAGATACATCGGAATGTAAGACTTTCCCATAAATTTTACTAGAAATGTATAAATAAATAAATAACCAACTAATACTTAGTGTTCCTTTAGTGTCTCTTAGGTATCATCAAAATCAAGAGTAATGAGGTTAAACCCAGCTACTGGGTTTTAATACATTACAAACACAGAGTCACCTACACAAATGTAACAAGAGACATACAAAATCATCTCATACTCAAGCTGACATGTACAGCTTAAACATAAGCACAGTGCCATGAACAAACACATGCAGTCTCACACAGCATTAAACAAACTACGCCAAAACAGCCAGAAACACACAAAGTGCTTCTCAGTAAGTGAAACAAACAACGCCTTTGACACAAAAAACAAAGGGCATCACAATCAAGCAACATGACAAGTTCAGTTTGACACACACACAATCAGCATGACAAACAACTCCACAAACAGCCTGAAACAAGAATGCATCCACAAATTAAAACAGCTAACACACAGATATAGTGACAGATCATGAGCACAAACTGTGTCACACATAAAAAAAACACACCGTGAGGCATACACACACATAACACACACAGTCAGGAACACACTTTCACAACAACTAACAACCACACACAGACACAACTTGGCATGTAATCGTTCACTGCATAAACTCTTTCATGTTGCACTGCAGGTAGGAGACCTGGAAAGTGCACATATGGCTATGGTGAACAAAGTTATCACCCTCTGCATACATAGCAGCAACGAAAGATAAAGGTTCAGATTCCAATTTATGATAGCTCAGCCAGAGGAAAGGGACAAAGTTGCTTAAAAAATATATCATTATAAATAATTTATATATATATATAAGAGTTGCAATAAAGTTTTAAAAAATTAAAAGAGTAAAATTATTGGAGTTTACATGTATCTCTAGGCTAAGAGCATCAGCTGACACTCTCCTTGAATCACTACCTTCAAACACTGAATATTTTTAAATCATAAATTCAAGGAAGGGAACGTTCTATTAAGCAAAATAGTCCTGAAAATATGTTGTATTCTGTAGTGGTTATAAATAAATTCCAGATACCCATCTATGCTATTTTATCTATTGGAGGTGAAATAAAAAAAGTTTATTTTTGTGGCATTCCTTAATCTGTTCCGAATTTTCCTCTTTGCTTCTTTTACAACAGTTTCATCCTGCACCTCTTTTTTTGTCATTTTAAATAGTGGTGCATTCAATCTATAAAAAGTAGTGCAAGAGTTACATAGTTACATAGTACTGGGCAAAAAAATGGCAGATGACATTTAATATAGAAAAATGTTGCACTTCGGGATAAAGAATGCACAAGCAACTTACACCCTAAATGGTAGTGACTTATGGATAACCACACACGAGAAGGATTTGGAAATTGTTATAGACAATAAATTAGGCAGCAACATGCAATGTCAATCTGCAGTTGCTAAGGCCAGTAAGGTTTTGTCATGTATAAATAGGGGCATAAATTCTTGGGATGAAAATATAATTTAGCTTCTATCTAAATCAGTGGTAAGACCACACCTTTAATATGCTGTGCAATATGGGCACCTATTCTAAAGAAGGATATCATGGCACTAGAAAAAGTCCAGAGACGAGCTACAAAATTATTTAAAGGAATGGAGCGTTTTAGCTATGAAGAAAGGTTAAAACATTTAAATGTCTTTAGTTTGGAAAAACAGAGCCTCAGAGGGATATGATAACATCATACAAATATTTTTGGAGCCAGTACAAACTATTATCTGGAAATCTATTCATAAACAGGGCTATACATAGGACACGAGGTCACACATTTAGGCTGGAAAAAAGGAGATTTAGTCTAAGCCAAAGGAAAGGTTTTTTTACAGTAAGAACTAAAAGGATGTGGTATTATCTGCTTGAAGAGGTAGTTTTATCTGAGTCCATACAGATGTTTAAACAGAAATTGGATAAATACTTGCAAAACATAACACACAGGGATATCATTTCTAATTAGTGGGGTAATAGCTGCTTGATTCAAGGATTTATCTAACTGCCATTTTGGGGTCAAGAAGGAATGTTTTCCTAATTTGTTGCAAAATTGGAAGCGCTTCAGACTGGGTTTTTGGCCTTCTTGTGGATTAACAGCAAAATAATTTGTGAGGAAGACTGAACCAGATGGATGCGAGTCTCTATTCAGCTATGTAACTATGTAATAGGTGCAAGAGTGTGCCTCTTTTTCCAACAAATGTTCCCAGAAGAAACCAGAACAAATGAGCAGTTTTGAAAGTCTTTTTTTTTTTTTTTTTTGCTTAAGAAATATAATTCCTTCAAATTGCAATGTTCCTTTTTTTATAGTAATAATACTCATTTGACTGGTTTTGTGAATGTAATCAATGGTAAAATCACAAAGATAAAATGAATCCAAGATGTATCATTTTGGCAAATTACAAATGTGTTAAAAAAACAGTTACTAATGCATAAATGGTGTAGCAATAGTTTTGTACATAAGAATTTAGCAAAAACCAGACACAAAACGTAATGTGTAATTTTTAAATTAATCAACCCTGGGATCTTAAAGGCTTAAAAACAGAAAGGTGAGCTTTTTGTTCATTTTTATTGTTCAACAGCTCTTTAGAGCCACCTAGAGATGCAAGAAGTATATGCATGCTGATTAAACATATGCCGTAACCAGTACAAATGACAACAAAATCAAATTTGTTGCAGATTATACAAAGTTATATAGAGACTAAAGAGAATGTATCTCTCTTCAGCTAAAAAAATAATCAAGGCTGGCAGTAAGGACAGACAATATATGAACTAACACTGCACATGTGTGAATGTTACCTTAGCTGAGTTCCCTGCAGTCTGCAAAATTCTAGACTTTACACCACTGCTGGGGAGGGGGACCTTGCTGGCCAAATATTATATATAGGTTGATTTTTCCTAGATTCCCACAAGGTTTACTTTGACTCTTCTCTGACCTGTCTCTAGAATACAATAAATTAGTAATGGATAAACCAGCTTACACAGTGTGCTATACTAAAATAAGGAAATTGTATTTAATAAGTGGGCCAAAGTGAACATTATTATTATTATTATTATTATGATATTTATATAGCGCCATCAAATTCCGCAGCGCTTTACAATGGGTGGACGAACAGACATGTAGTTGTAACCAGACAAGTTGCATGTGCCAGGAGCACACATATTCTAAACTCCCTACTGGGACTGTCTCTAAAACAAGTCATTGAGGAGCCAACTTGTAAAATGCCATACTAGATTTAGTGTTAACAAATGGAGATTTAGTATCAGATTTTACTGTAGGTGAAAGTTTAGGATCCAGTGATCATCAGTCAGTGTGGTTTAATATAAGAACAGTAACTGTGTCACACCACACAAAAACAAAAGTTTTAGACTTTAGAAAAACTGACTTTAAAAAAAAAAAATTAGACTGTGTAAATGAGTCTTTATCAGACTGGAGCAATTTAAATAGAGTCCAAGAGAAATGGGATTATTTAAAAGTTGCACTGCTGAAGTCAACATAAAATTTGTGTGTTAGGCTTGTTAGTAAAAGCAAAAAATTCAAGAAACCACTGTGGTACTCCGCTAATGTGGCCAAAATTGTACAAAACAAAAAGTTAGCATTTAGTAATTATAAAAAAAACAGTGTGAGGAAGATAGACAGATACTTGATATTTCTTGTCCTAATGTTTCTAATACCCCATCTCCTATAGTCTGTAAGCTCGTTTGAGAAGGGTCCTCTTCAACCTATTGTTCCTGTAAGTTTTCTTGTAATTGTCCTATTTATTGTTACATCCCCCCTCTCAAAATATTGTAAAGCGCTACGGAATCTGTTGGCGCTATATAAATGGCAATAATAATACTCTATAAGATGAGGCAGAAAGAGCCTAAGCAAGTTATAAGAGCTTCCAAATCACACACAGAAGAGAAAATAGCACTGTCAGTAAAAAAAGGGGGTCAAAATTTCTTTAGATACATAAATGAGAAAAGGAAAGTAAAACAAGTATTAGTTAGAGTAAAAACAAAAAAAAAGAAGTTATGTAGAAGAGAATAAAGGACTAGCTGACTGCCTCAATGAGTATTTACAGATGAAAATGAAGGAAAAAGGACAAATTAGTCATTTGTTACATGTGAGTTAACAGAGGAAGAGGTCCTATTTCAACTGTCAAAAGTAAAGACAAATAAGTCAATGGGACCTGATGGAATGCACCCAAAGTTATTAAAAGAGCTTAGTGGTGTACTAGCAAAAAAAGCTCTTTTTATAAGTTTCTACTTGATGAAGCCTATTGTGGCGAAACGCGTATAGGAACTTTTTATATAATCTAAGTGTTAATAAAGGAATATTTGGCTATTATACATTTGGTTGCCACATTCCTCTTCCCACCTTAGTATTATATTACCTTCTTTTAGTATAATTTTATTATTTTACTATTTGCAAGTTTATTTTATTCAGACCTGACTACTACTACTTTTTTGTCCATATTGGAGTAACAAGAATCCTAAGGTGGGGATTATACCACCCATACGCCATCCACCGAGCAGTACGTCTGCTCTATATACCGTGAGTATATTTTATTCTGTTTTTACATTTTATCAACTATACAGTGAGCACTATATTTTATTCTTTTACCTCGAGCTGGACTACTCCACCAAAGTACTCTGCTAAAGAACAAAAGAGGAGCAACGTATATCCTTGAGTGGGGATTATTCCACTACGTGCCATTTACACCAGAGCTGGATATAAGCTCTGAATATTGTGAGTAGTTCTACTATTCTATATACAATATTATTTTACCGTTCATACTATACCATTGGAGTTTCCCTTGTCTTCTGTTTTCTTCACATATCCATTTTGAAGCTGCGGATATACATCTGGGACTTCACATACCATTTTATGTAGCACTAGGACTACCTCCTGCATATGTGGATTATTTATATTCGGACTTTCTAGGTAACGCTGCTTGGACTCTCTGATGCATATTTTTATACATTCATTCTACTTGTCTTAGGCGCACCCTTATTTGTGCTTTTCTCTACATAGTGTAAATCAGTTTCAAATAATGAATTAATATTCGTGAAATGCACTCACAAGATTAGACGAGAAATAGCGCTCTAGGGTGCCTCCCCTGTTAGTAGTGGGGGGCTATTCTCTTCCTCCAGTTGCTCCCAATAGGTGAATGGAAAGCAAGACTCACAGGATGGTGGAAAAAATGGCTTTATTAAGGGTGAATATTCACCCAGCAATAAAAGAAAATATAAACTTAAAATGAGGTCCTACGCGTTTTGTTCACAGTACGGAACTTCCTCAGGGACCAAAATTAAAACCAAATATTATACAGCAATGACAAAGTATAAAATACAGCCTAATCCCACCCTCCCATCAGTCCTGTTATATAGAGCTAACCCCTAAGTTAATTAGTGGCATCCTGGGCGTCCTCCTGGATTCCTTTCGTCATTGGTGTGGTAATTACTTACATCCAGCTGTCTCTTTCTGATTGTAGTTGCAGTCAAAAATTCCCGCGTCCAGTATCAGCCGAAAAACGGAACCGGAAGTGAACACACACTTCCGTGTTCCATTCGATCGTGCGTTCCAGCAAGTGAAATCAAGATGTCTATTGACAGAGCCCTCTGGTGGTCGCCAGGGGTACAATTCTAAGTAGTGAATGTTGAAAGAAATCGTGTATCTATTGAGACAAAACACAATAGTCTCGGCAGCAACATGGTGGAATATAATGATATGGCATAAATTATTCTATTTTACCACTTTTAAATCCCTAGTAAGCACTTAATTCAAAGTGAATAATTTAAAAATAATAGAAAATCAAAACATATACATTATATATCATAAAATTTGTATTTTTTTTAATTAATTAAATAGAAAAACACACATATCTACCACAGACAATCTCTCAGTATGTCAGTTTTTGTTAATCCAAATCAAATACCCTTA